TTACCGTTCGGTGGCGGCATTACGACAGTGGCGGATAACGTGGCACTGAGCGTGCGTGCTGGGGAGGGGGGGTGGGAGGGCGGGCGGCGGGAGGGAGGGAGGGAACGGGGAAGCGCAGCATTGTACTCGTAATTTTCAAATTCATCGTACATCGTGAAAAATTACGAGCAGTAACTACTCATTCCCCCGCTGTCTAGGCTCATCCCAGTCACTCCCCCTTCCTCCTCCTCTTTCTCAATTGGTGTTGATTCCCCTCACCCTTTTTCATCCCTCCCTCCTCCCCCCATGTCGCACTGTTTCGTCTTTACAGGACCACCGTCCCGTCTGCGCGGCCCTCGACCTGACCGTAGATCGACGCGTGCGAGGCTTCCATGTTGTCGCCCCGCTCCCCTCCCTACCGCTCTCCTTGCCGTCCTACGGATCCCGAGAGACCGAAAAGAGCTCCCTGGCCGATGACCTGGTCCTCTTTCACATCTACCTGGGCCGCCCACGGCTGGAAGGTGGGTGAAGAGGGCGAGGAAGGATGGGCGCGAGGGGGGCTGGAAGGGAAGGAAAACGGGCCTCTCCCGGCACTGACGACCTTTTGCCGTCTCCTGCTTCGGTTCTCCTTCCCCCCCCCCCCCCAGGCCGACTCGCCAGCAGCCTTTTGCCAGCTCTGGGGGTATCCCGGGATCCAGCGTTGGCTGGGGAAGGCAACAAAACGTCAAAGAACAAGTCGCGCTTCCCAGGCGCGTCCTCCACGTTGAAGTGGGCGGGGGGGCCCTACGAGGTCACGGTCCTCTTCCCCCTGGTTTCCGAAGACCCTCTGGTCGAGCAGCGGCAGCTCTGCAGCCTGGGCGAGGTCAGACTCGTGTTGTGTTTCCTGGGAGGGGGGAGGGGGCACGGGACTAAGCCTTGAGTCGTGTCCTTCGCATGCACCTTCCCTTGAGCGGTACCTGCATGGGAAGGACCACGCGGATGTGTAGGGGAAACGCCGCGTAGAGTGTGGTCTGTGAATTCCGCAACTCGCTCATACCGTGACGAGAAAGCTGCCTAAGCGCCCACACGCGTCCACACGCCCTGTCTCCCTTTTAGCCTCCCTGATATCCTTACCGCCTCGCCACGGCCTCTCTCTTCCCATGCCTCCTTTTTTCCTTCTCGCAGGCCATACCCGCCTTTGGGGGCTCCTCACGGGGGTCTCAGGGCAACACCGCTGACCTTCAGAATTCTCGCACCGGACTTTCACAACAAGGCACCTGTAGCCGCAGCTCGAGCGGCGCCCCCTTCCACTCAGGGGGGAAATCGCAGTCGCCTGTAGAGGGGAGTTTGTCGCACCAGGGAGGGAAAGGAGGAGAGGAGGTGCCCATGGGGGAAGTGAAGCATGTGCCCTGGGAATCATTCCCGCAGATCATGCATGTGGTTGCGTCCAGACGCTTCTCCGAGCACGTCCTGGTCAAGGTGAGTGCGTGCGATGGGGCTTAAAGAGAGGGTCTGTGTGCCTCTTAGTAAGGATAGAGGCGATCCGTCGCTGCGTGCGATGTAAGCCCGCTCGTTCCCCTGTTGCCTTTCTCGGGATCGAATCGTCGACCCCACCCTCCCCACAGATTCAAGACAGTCGGCTTCAAGACTTGGGACAGGCCGTCATTCCCATCGCCCTCGGTTTCTCTCCAGGTAAGCGTCAGGGACCGATCGATGCCTGGGAGGATCGTGGGGATCGTGTGGCACGCCGAGAGGGGGCTATCGGCAATGATCCGTCACCGGATCCAGCGCCCGGTCACAATGGCTCTCATTCCCACTGTGCCCTTACTCGCACTCGCAGGCGCCAAGGAATTCGCAGCCTCCTCCATTATCCCTCCCTTCCCGGTTATGAAAGAGCGTGTGCGCGTGGCATTGTCCTCCGGAGGTGTATTCAAGTGAGTGGCTGCCCGCTTCCCCTTACCCTTTCATGAGTTCGTGTGACTGTGAACACCTATGCAGCATGTACAATGGTCGTTTCTTCCCATGCCCGGAATGACGTGGACCACCCCATTAAAGCGATGAAATTGGAGTCGGCTGCCTCTCTTGCCCTGTGGTATTATCTCACCAGGCCATTTTTCGGCCTACCCCTTTCCCTCCTTATCCCAACTTGTCAATCCTGCACAGGGGTATGTTGACATTGGACCTGAGTGTGACGGTGCAAGCGCTCCTTCCGCAGCAGAAAAAGGGGGCATTAGGCCTCGCCGCAAGCATGAAGAAGTCGAAGATGACTGCCTCCGGTAGCGCTGTTCTCAGCGGCCAGAAATCAGGAGCAGGTAATGGAAGCTCGGAACGCGAGCTCCAGACAAGCGCCAGCACTGGGGCGACTCGTCTGACCGCGGAGAAAGTGGGATCGGTCCACACCTGAGACATCATATCTTAAATTTTCAAACTGTCAGTCCCAGCGCTACTGCCTCCGGGATGTCCGACTGACTACAGATGAAATGATACGAAAAGGAGCCATGAAATGAAAGAAGGGGATTCGTTATTTTGAAAATTAGCAGAAGGGACGACAGCAGGGCTGGCTCAAGCGTGGAGGCACCTTCTCAACACCTTCGTAATTTAAGAATTGAACTGAATGATATCCGAGAAGGGCTTCCATTCGAGACTTTATTCTTTTTTGTCCTGTAATTTACTTCCTTTACATTTGTCCGAGATCTACACCTCTTTATGCACGCCATCTAGAAACAAAGGCAGCACTGTTCCCAATCCCCTCTACCCCCCCTGCATCCCTCGGTAAAGCCTTGGCCAGCCCCCCAGTGGCTTCCCTTCGCTTCCATTCCTCTATCCCCCCCTGCTTGAACCCCACCCCCTGCTGATCCCACCGCACTCTGCCTCCCGACTCCTCGCTTTACCCCGACCCCCCTCTTCCTTTCCAACGGGCGAGCTGCTCCACAAGCACGGCCAGCGTATTCTTGGCTGCGTCCTCCTCCTCTTTTCCCGCCTCGAGCTCCTTCCCACCGGAGGCGGACTCGGAGGAGGATAAATCGTGCAGGCCAACGATCTCATGAAGAAGGGGAAGAGAAAAAAAGAGGGGAAGGCTCAGTCTCATTCTCATCAACATCCCGCTTTCACAACATGAAATATTTAAACGCAGCTTTCACCATCTCCAAAGGTGGATGCAAAGCACGCCAACATCTCGCGCCCATCGCCTCACGGCCTAGTCAAGCGCTCACAGCACACTCAGGTCTCATCACCTTCTACAATCAGCTCTTTCTCCAGTTCCTCTCCTTGTCACCTCCCCTTACCTCAGCAGCCTCGCGCACAAAATAGCTCAAATCCTCCCTGGATCCTTCTTTTGCCCCTTCCAACCTGCTCGAGGCACATTTGTGGAAGAGACGCGCCAATTGGGTCCGTGGCGACGCAAACACCTGGTCTAGGTCGAATTGCTCGAGGGTGGGAGGGGGGGGAGGGCGCGAACGAGGGAGGGAAGACGGCCAGGCTGTGCGTGAAGCAGTATCAAGAGAGAGAGAAAGCCAGGGGGAGGAACGAGGACAAGCTAAGCTATCGCTCTCTGGTGTACAACTCGTCAGTACACGTGCCGGCGACCGAACAAAAAATCCTCTCCTTCCTCTCGATCGTTCAGGGTCAGGGGGACGAGGTATACGGAGAAGGACACGTCTAAGGCCACCCTTCCCCGCCCACATCAACCTCAGTCTCTCACCGCAAGGGGGGCTGAGGACAGACGAACTCCGGCGCCACGGGCCTCAACGGGTGCTCTGGTTCCAGACCCAGAGCGTGGTGCGTTGCGAGGACTTCTGGGAGCAGCGTGTTTGGTCGCAGTGCGTACAAAGGCGGTTCCTCTCCAGGGGGAACGCCTGCTTTCCCTCTCCCTCGCCCTCCTTCCCGTCCTCCTTCATCGGGAGGGTTGAGCAGGTTGTTGAGATCGACGTGACTTTGCGGCGTAGAGTACATTTTTCCCTGTCAATGCGGAAAGTAAGGCACCAATCAGGCGACCAGCTTCCCCATTGCGCTCGACCTCCGTCTCCCCCTTCCCTTCGCCGCTTCCTGCGTCCCTCTCCCCCGTTTATTTTCCACCCCGCCCTCCTCCCACCTGAAGACACGGTCGAAGCTGCTGCGCGAGGTCTCGGACACGTGGGGTGCACAAGCGTGGTTGTAGGGAGGGAGGGAGGGCGGGAGGGAGGGCGGGGTCATGCGCCCGCTCCTGCTCTGGCCTCGCGTCCCCACAGAAGAGGAGCTGAGCAAGCCGGGAGGGGGAACGGTCATGGCTAAAACTGGCTTGACCCAAGTTAGAGGGAGGGGCGCTGGACTCCGCGTCCGGCTCGCGATGGAGCAGCCACTGGGAACGAGGGAGGACAAGAGGACGTGAGTGGTGCCAGCCTTCCCCCCCCCTTTCCTTCCCCTCCCCCTCCCCCTCCGGCGCCTTTCTTGCCCCTACCCGGAAAATCACATCCGCGAGCCAGCCATTGTCCTCTTGGTCGAGCCACGCGTCGGTCCACATGTCCACCGCGCCCAGGACAACCAGCCGCCCTCCTCTCCTCCCTCCTCCTCCACCTGCACCTCCCCCTCCTCGACCTTTGCCCCTTTCCCCTTCATTCAACCTCTTCTCTTCTTCCTTCCCCGCCTCCTCCCGCCTTCCCGCACCCTTCCCCTCCCCTCCGTCCTCTCCCTCCGCACGACCCTCCCAGGCGGCCAGCACTGGGCGGTGGGCGGGATAAGAGTAAGGGCCGGAGGAGAGCAGGACCTGGGGTGCAATCGGAGGAGAGAGGGGGACGGGAAATCTCAATCGAACGGAGGCAAGCATATAGGATTGGTTTTGGAAAGGTGTGCTCTCAGGTATCCGGCCCGTCACTCCTAAGCCCCACCCTGACCCAAAGCACGCATCGCGGTAGGAAAGCTCACCGCCCCATCCGCGCTCCCTCTCCCTGTATTCCTTCCCTCCCATCCCCCTCTCAGGCACGCTCGTAGAGGTAAACCACGGACTTGAGCGATATCTAAGCACGGGCTAGCGCGATATCTAGCACAGGCCGCCATCGAAATGCCTCCCTCTTGGAGCCTTCCCGGCGTCCAGACCCTACCTTCGCAGGGGGCGCAACGGACAGGGAGCAACCGTAGGGATAGACGAAGGAGAAGCCCGGGTCCTTCTCCTCTTCCTGCCTTTCGTCCTTCCCCGCCTGGTCGTCTTCCGTCTCAGGCAAAGAGGACAGGGAGAGGAAGACCTCCTTGGGATGGGGAAAGCGAGGGTGTCTCCGCCGCCGGAGAACAGCGTCGTGGTGCGCGTGCATGCCCCAGGGCTGGAGCCAGCGGTTAAGAAGAGAACTAGGGCCCTCCTCGCTCCCGCATTGATTGTTCCCCACCCCTTCTGAGAGGAGAAGGAGGACGCTTTGCCCCTCTACGAGCAGGAAGCGAGAGAGGGCTTGTTCCTGCAGGGAGGGGGTTAGGAAGGCACAAGGGGGAAGGGGGGGGGTAGAAGTTACTGCCCGCTGGAAGGACAGCTGAAACGCGTGACCCACAGCATGGCGGCCACATAGCCGTGCCCCCACGCCGTGGACTTAATGCAGTCCGTGGGAAATTTGTCTACAGCGTCCCCCCCCCAGCTACCTCGTGAGTGGTGAAAGCCGATTGAGGACACGCAAAGACGGCCAAGGAGGGTAGTGACAGTGCTGAAGCCCCATGCGAGGCGTCTGGTCGTATCCCGACATGCTGCCCTTCCCGGACGAGAATGGATTGGAGGTCTGAGTGCTTGTTGCTGTGGAATAAGATTGTGGTAAGAAGATGACGAGTGCATTCCTCCGCTTCGAAATGCTGCCCTTGGTACAACACGCACAATGAGAAACCGAGCTTGAAAGTTCCATACAAGTTATTCATTTCTGGCCTACACATATCGTTGATTTTCCAATCCAAGAAGACCTCAGCACAATTTTACTTTTTTCCCATCCCCCAACATCTCACATGGTGACTTTCAGGCCGGCTCTCCGTAAGCGACGGAAAAGCCGCTTCATATTTTGGTAGTTTTCCCCTTTCACCGCATTGAAAACCACGTGGTTGTGTCGCTCTTCAAGCGGGGCCTGTCAATGTGTGACAGGATGGGATGGAGGTGAGTTGAAAGTCGCAAGGGTCTCCTCATGCGCCCGCAAGTCTACTTGCCTGTCCGGGATGTGGCTGATAGGTAAGGCTGGCGACATTACTACCGTCTCCTTTTCTATTGCTTGAATAATTCCCGCTCGATGCATTGGACTGTGGTGAATGCCCAGACTGCTCTGAGTGCATCACTGTTACTCCGAGGGTAATGAATTTCAGTCCCTCTGCCAAGCCCTCTGGGGCCTCACGAGGGGCGTAAGAAAGGGAAGAGGAGGAGGTCCTCTTGGAATGTGATGTCGTGGGCTCCGACGCGGAGGACAAGGCTGTGTCTGGGAATGAGCGGCGGACAAGCACAGGGCATCGAGGATAAGATGGCTAGTTTTCGCGATGTGAAATTTAGCTCTACAAGAGGCAAGATTGGTGACGAGGAATTAACCACAAGAGGGGATAGTATCATTGCCTCGTATTTTTGGTGCGTAAAATGCGGTATCGAGACACATGACTACTATTCTGGTATTGGACAGGGGAATATAAGGTTTGGAAAGTAGCCTCTTGCAAGGGAATCATGCGTTTATTTTGGTGGGTGGGGGGAATGGCCATCTTACACGATCCAGCGCGTAGGCCTTATCCCCACATCTTTTTTTCTACATTTTCTAACATGCATGATTGCGAAATGTGCCGGAAATAACCTGTCAAGGACTGTAGTGTTGGCCACCAAACCAATGCAAACAAGCGAGCAAAACTAGTCCAACGGTCCAGCAACGGGGCAGAATCTCGAGGCGCATATTTGGTATGGGCCAAAAAGTGAGAAAAACCCAGAAAAGACCAACTGCGCACTAGCAAACACTTCATGAGCAACGTGTGTATATAGAAATTTCGCATTACTTGAGAAAACTGAGGAAGAGATCAACGCGGGGAATGGAAAAAACTGGTACCACACGTACACAAGCTTGGATTCCGATCTAGCACGTCTCTTGCCAACGTGTGTGAACAGCTTTCGTCATTGACACTTTTACTTGCTCATTCTCTTGCGCTTTCTCCCTCGCTTTCATCTCCTCTCTCAAGCGAGGTAGGAAAATCTTTCCCTTGATCGCTACTTGCAAGTGGGGTTTCTCCCGTAAGATCGTCGTATGTGTTCACCATGGGCAATCAAGGGCAAAGCAGGCTTCAGCACCCCATTGAGATTTGCTGAGGACGAAGATTAAGATGTTAGAGCGAAAGCCTCCAGGTACATTGACCTGAAAAATGTCAATGATATAAGAATGATTATATTAGTTCAAGGTAATCTTCAAGGTGAAAGTCCGATTAGAAAGGGAAAAGCTCCTGTACAGGCGCTCTTTTCCGCACATACTTCTAATTTAGATAACATCCCAGACGGTAGGAACAATCATATAGCTTCTGTACTTCAGAAGACGGGCGCATATGAGCTTCGATCCCGCTTGCCGCAACTGTCCCTGCAAGCGGACGAATTCGCATGCATGCTCGTTTTGCTGCTCTTAGTTGCTTATCTACACCTATCCTGCAATATTGTGTAAATGTGACGAGGTCATGTAGGCCAGCGACCAGCAAGCAACGACAAAATGGGCTTCCTCTCTGCTGTCATCATACCAAGCCAAAGCGTGAAATCGAGTTGAGAAGATGAGCCCAATTATTCTTTTCATCGCCTGCTTCATTTCATGGTACAATTGTTGGAAGGAAAATTTTGTGACGTCTCACGAAAGCTCTTCCTACCTTTTGTGTACGTAGAAATTACTTCGTTCACACAAATTTTAAGTGATAGACCCCAGAAATTATTATTGAATGGTGCCTTTCGTTGCCATGATTAATTGTATTGCGCTTTTAAGCAAGTTTGACACTTAAGGTTCAAATTCTTTACAAGCAAAATAGGTATTTATTGTACTGTTCTTCCCTATCCAAACTTCCAGTCATTGAAACCCGGAAGCACGAACCCTCGTTCCCTTACAAATAGAAGACAACAATGTATCCCCCAGCATCCCATTAAAGAAAGTCAGAGGTTTTACAAAAAACTGAGGCGTACATTTGATCAAATGGAAAACACAAAGTTATCTGAACTCACACATGTTGTTGACCATGTAATGAAAAGCTTATTCAAGAAATCGCCGTTACTTATCAAGCAATGACCATAACTCTCTTCCTTCAAAGTCTTAAATCATTCTAATCTGTATCACAATACATGAGAGGCGCGATGAATACCATGCATAATTCGAGTACAGTAGCGTACGTTGTAAGTTCGTGCCTGCATGTCTTGAGAGTCAATCACAACCGGCGCGAGTTAAACATTTCACATATTGAACTTTACTTTGTGAAGCTGTACGGAAAAATAGGCTCATGCTGATTTTTGGCGCCCGTCATGAACATTGGAAGGCCGTGTCCTGCCCTAAATAAATCGGCGATATGGGCCCAACTACATTGTACCCCCGCGAAAGTGACGACACGTACCCGTCATCAACAAGGCAGGCCCATGCTATGTGCCGTCCTCCAACCACCCATTACACCTCACACTATCGCTCAAATCCTGTCATCTTTCATAAAATTATATTACATAATTAACTCAGGCCTGACAACCAACAAAGGAGCTCAAAGGTGAAGTGCGCTTGCTTCGACTTATTCAGCTAGTAAGCTCCACCCGGGGATGGAGCAGCCTAATGCTCCACATTCATCCGGTCTCATTGCTCCAGCTATGCCGAATGAGAATTCATGCGATCTATTTCTATCAAGTTAGGGAAGAATAGATACTAGGGAGAGCTGTGATGCGGATAAGGATAAGAACATTTCAGGCCGCCGCTTTCGCTTTCTCGGTGCTGTTCTGCATACATGTCTTTCTCCTTAACATGTCTATTTCTAATTGGGGCAAAACGAGACAGCATATGCAGCTCGCAGCAAAACCGAGTCTTGCCTCATCATTACTTGAGGATATTCTTGTGGTCATATCGTATCACTGGAATGTTGGGAAACTTGTATATCTCACCGCCATGCTTGACCTCATTCAGACGTACGAGACTCGAGTAGACGTCCTGATCGTTACAGACAACGACGAGGCTCTGCACAAAATATTAGCCGCATGGGGATACATGGGAAACAGCAATCCCACGCTCCAACTATGGCAAGCTCCCACCACCGACGATAAGCATAAATATTCATTACTTTGGGCCCACAGACAGGCGATTGAAGATGCTGTTGAAAGGCATCCCGATTATACATCGATATTCTACATGGAAGACGACACGCACTTGACCTGGCCGACTGTAGTATCTTGGGCATTGGATACAGAAATTCTTGAACCGCTGAACTTTACGCGCTGTATCTATCGAACAGAGGTGGATGTAAAGACGGGGGACTTCAACATGATGGATTATACCAATACCCCATTATGCATCACCAGGAAAAATGTGCTGGATGCGACTCGAAATGATGACTTCGTTCGCATACAGGAACGGCTGAAAAAGCAACCCGTTCTCCGTTGCGGGAGGCATCGCGATAAGACACAATGGACTTGCGGCGTCCACGATCGGTTCGTCTCACCAACAGAGCCCTACCAGGGTATGTGGATGGCCACACGCGCTCAGCTTGCCCGCTTTATGGCACATTCTTTTTGGATTAAGGAAATGGCCTTGAATGCCACTTTAGCCGCTGACATGATCATGGGGTACCCAGAGCGCAGTACGGTTATGAACTTGCTGATCAACGTGCCTGAAGGCTTTCGTTCTAACTGTATGGTGCCCTTTGTCCTCAGCGACCAATATGATGGGGTTCTGAAGCCCATTTTGCCTCTGGTTGCCCGTGTTGAACACATGCGAAACGGATACTCCCCGGATACTACGACCCCACTAGGGAAAACCCACTTGCAAGTAGCGATCAAGGGAAAGATCCTTCTTCCTCGCGAGAGAGAGGAGATGAAAGCGAGGGAGAAAGCACAAGAGAATGAGTCATCAGGGAAAGGACGAAAAAGGGTTGAATAAACGCGTTTTGAAAATAATTCCTTGTAGATGAAATCGAAGGAGTCATTTAAGAATGTTCGTAACGTTGATATGGTTCAGAGGATGCTCACTATGCGAGCCTACGACGCCAACACTAACCAACATGTCTATGGTTTACCTTCTGTCCCTGAGTGTCTCATTAAGTCCATTAGGGTACCCCGCTTCTAATGCAATAGATTTTTTCCAGGTCCTTTTTATCAGATTTTCACAACATTGGTTTTTTGGCACTCTTGCCACTGTGGCGAAGAATACGCGTAACACAGAGTTCTATTGGCCACGCTCTCTCTAGTGGCTCTGAATGCTACTTTCGATACCATGCGGGGGGTAAGCCACGGATGCGGAGGAGAAAAGGCCGTCCTGGTACACCAGTTCTTTTCTTACAACAAATCCTTTGTTTGTAATCTTGATAGATACATAAATTCATTTTCCGGCCAAAACGAATGTTTCCTTCTCTTGCAGAGAAACATTTGTTTCTTGGAGATGAATAACTTTCTTTCCTTCAGGTAAGAAAGTAATTTCCTTTGTTACCAGGAAAACATTTATTTGCCAAAAACGTTTTCTTCGGTGGCTGATAATGAAAAAAGTTTCCTTTTCTTTAAGAAGAGGATATGTTTTTCTGGAGGAAGGGACTTTTCTTGGGTAGGAACATACATTTTTTTTCCTAAAAAAGAAAAACTATATTCGTCTAATTTGGACATGACTTTCTTCGCGAAGAAGGGTAAATGTCGGTATTTTTCTATAACTTTTTGCTCCCTTTGGGTACCCTCAGCCTATACATTCTTTTACTTATAGCTATTGCACGGGTGGCATGAGAGCCTGGGACTCCTGCTAATAGGTATGTATGGCCTGGTTGGTGTGCACGCGCGCTATGAGGAAGGACCAATCGCGCGAGGAGCATATGACCAGTTCTTGGTTTATTGTCTCTGTACTCAAAATTTCAGTGCGCCCGGAAACGTCATACCACTTTCCCATGGGGTGTTTTCCCTCACCCTAAGAGAGCTCGCTGCTAACTTGCTGTTCGGGGGCTCGCCGACCGTTAGTCTCCGCCTGAAGGTCACTATAGGCGCAGTAGAGCATGTCCTTTCCTGTTTACCACGCCAATCGTCAAATACATTAAGAAATTGCTCCTCAAGTCTTCCTCGAGCTTGAGAATCCGGATGAAGATGACTTTCTTCAGCTTTAGCGTCGGCACGGTTCTTTCGAGTAGGGATAAGAAATCTTTCTTGGGCAATAGCCGTTTCACTGGCAGTTTCCTTTTGGGTGATCTTCGATACTCTTCCTGAAGTCTTTTCACGTATATGTTTGCAAACTTCGAGCGATCGCATAGATATTGCATTACAGATATACTTTATGTACATTTACATACACCACATCACTTCCTGCTTGCAAAAGGAAACCTTCAGGAGCTCTTCCTAAGTATGAAGGTCTCTCTCAGAGCCTGCACAGGTCCCGCATCGTGGGCGTGTTCAAGTACATTCCTGAATCTTGGGATTTTTATCCTTATAATTTTTGTGAGCGAGAAATTCATGGATCTTTCCCATGTCGAGCGTTTTGGTGACATAGATACATCTTCTGTCAAAAGCTCGCAAAGCCTGTACGAGCGAATGCAAGCAGTGGAGGAGAACATGAAAGTTCTCCAGAAAAGGTGAGCTAGTGCGTAAAACCGATGAAAATGCTATCACGCTACACCATGAATGCCAATCTAGGACTTATTATCGATCTTTTAGGTTCTGGCAGGAGCCGCTCGAGCCTATTTGGCAATACCGAGGAAAGTACTATCTCGGCAAGACCAATGATATCGAAGACAAAGACCAAGTAAGGAAGCTGACGGCGTATCTCTGTTTAATGGGGTGTGTACGCGTCTTTCAATGCGGAACGATCCCGTAACTGCTTCCCTCTGACTTAATGATTCACCTTGTACGTCTTTCTTCTTGTTCCTAGGTGACTCCGTTTTTCCTTGCAAACTTCGTCAATGCCTCTGATCCGGCCGTGTACAAGCGTAAAATATACATTGACTTGGGGATCAAAGATTTCTACAGCAGTTTGTGCTGGATTATGCAGAATTATCCGGTGAAGTTTGACGCCATACATGGCTTTGAGTGCGCGAGTGATCTCAGCAATGTAGCAGCCCTCAGCAGTCAAATTGACGCGTGTGTCCGTGGAACGGCGGCTGATTTGAAACAAGGCTACACACCCGAAGGTGTCAAGGAAATACTTCACATCTATTATAACTACATTGGTACCGACGAGAATCCAGCAACGCAACCACCGACGCGTGGTCTGAGTCAGGTCATGAAGGACTTGAATATCGAGAAGGATGACTACGTGGTGGTAAAGATGGACGTGGAAGAGATGGAGTACGCGCTTTTAGACAAGATTATTGCTGATGGCACCTATAAGCTGATTGACGAGGTGAGAAAGATTTGCGGGCAATGTGAAGATGCTACAGGTTGCACGGACTTGTCTCATGGATTCTCTTTCCATCCAATCTCGTGCAGATGTTTGTCGAAATCCATTACAACCATCCAGAGATGCACAAGTTTGGTTGGCAAATGTTTCATAAATCACGAAACGACGCGCAAGCACTCTTCACGAAAGCAAGGGACGTAGGCATGTACATCCATCCTTGGCCCTGAAGAAAAGGCATCTGCGGTTACCGATCGTCCTTGTAACCAACGACATAGTATTGCTCGGCACCACCCTGTACTATTGAGCTTACCTGCTGTGTGCACCGAGAGCAGTATGCAGGGGCACTACACTAGGGAGTATGGCGTATACAACTCTTAGTTTTGCTTCACTTTTGCTACAACGGCGAGAACAAAAAGGAACTAATATCCTGGAAAACCGATTAAAGTGTACCAAATATGTTCAACTGGATAAACTTAGGGGCATAACGAAGGAATTGGTGAGACATCTTCCACATGACTGAAGGGAACTCATAGACATCTTGGAAAGCTTTGCATGGTGTACTGGCATAGTGAGCATCTACAAAACCGCATACGTGTTAAATTTACTTTTGAGACGCGTTTATTCAACTCTTTTTTATCATTTCCCTGATGGCTCTTTTTTGTCATTTCCCTGATGGCTCATTCTCTTGCGCTTTCTCCCTCGCTTTCATCTCCTCTCTCAAGCGAGGAAGGAAAATCTTTCCCTTGATCGCTACTTGCAAGTGGGGTTTCTCCCGTAAGATCGTCGTATGTGTTCACCATGGGCAATCAAGGGCAAAGCAGGCTTCAGCACCCCATTGAGATTTGCTGAGGACGAAGATTAAGATGTTAGAGCGAAAGCCTCCAGGTACATTGACCTGAAAAATGTCAATGATATAAGAATGATTATATCAGTTCAAGGTAATATTCAAGGTGAAAGTCCGATTAGAAAGGGAAAAGCTCCTGTACAGGCGCTCTTTTCCGCACATACTTCTAATTTAGATAACATCCCAGACGGTAGGAACAATCATATAGCTTCTGTACTTCAGAAGACGGGCGCATATGAGCTTCGATCCCGCTTGCCGCAACTGTCCCTGCAAGCGGACGATTTCCAGCTTCGGTTGATCGAAAGTATTTTCTGGCTCGGTACAAAGTTCTGTTGCATGCCTTGCTAAATAGCCTCGTCCGTTTGATGGCGAATTACCCTATGCCCGCTTCATCACGCGTCCGACTACATGCTAAGGCTGCATCGGCCCTCTCCACTTTCTTTCCCAACTTCACTTTGAGCATTCTGTTCAATTGTCTCTGCTTTTCCACAAATAATCAATTCCATTTTCTTGTAAGGAACGCTACTATGCGCAAAGGACGAGATTCAAATCTATCACAGGAGCTCAGAGGCTCCTGTTTTACGAGCATTCCGACTTCCGCGAGGAGCTGATACAGCAGAAGACCGCCCCAAGAATTCATTCGACATCGTGCACAGAATGCAGGCTTAGATGAATGCTGGGTATTTTCTCCCTCCATTAGCGCCTGAGCACATTGAGTTTTTACAAGATTCACAATCAGGATCCTGGCGTCGATTTTGTCAGCCGCTGATTTGGCTCCCTCTGAAACCAGCATGAATGCTCACAAATTTGCGAAGAAATTTGGTCGATCTGCTGCGCGAACTGAATTCAATCCCATAAATCAACTCATCATAGAGTGTTTCGAAGAAGTTTCGTAATTTATAGGGGGAAATTGAGATGAAAGGTTCAAGTAGGGACAACAAATGGGCCAGGAGCAGATCTTGGCGCAAATTATTCGTCCTTAAACCTACATCGCGGCAACAAGACATTTTGTTCTATGATTAAACAAGATAGATTGATATTATTTTGGGTGATGAAAACAATGTATTGTAAGCAGGGATGTGCTAAGGCGAATAAAAGGTTGGCGGCAGGAGGCAGAGGCATCCCTGAGCTGCTGCTAGAGGCGCCTTCAAGCAATACCTGGTCCTATCTTCGCGTACCCACCACAGAACCAATTATTCTGTGACAGGATTTTTTTTGCTGATAAATTTCATTACAGATATTTTGCAAGGTTTAATAACGAAATTGTCACGTTGTGTCGGTGAAGGGCGTTTCTCAATCTCCCAGGAATCACGACAGCGACCGATACCATGTTCTCGTCAGGTCGGAGAGTCTTCTTCAACTTCTCGAGTCGAAAGCTCTGCGTGAAAAGGAGTGGCGTCCCTTTACTGTGACGTGCTTCTTGATTCGATGCGTTGGAATGCGGCAGGTCAATTGGATAAACATTAACCCGTTTTCGTCTTACGTTGCGGACAGGACCATCAGAACAAATCGTGTGGTGCACTGGGCATGGCGACTTTGTCAAGGGAGGAGGACGGGACGCAGCCAGAGCTGTCCCGTGAATGGTCGAAGGAGGAAATGAGGGAGGAAGACCTGAACGATTCATCTTATATGGGGGTGATGTCATTCCATTCTCAAGGAGGGCCGATGGACGAGGAGAGGGTGGCAGGGGATGCAGGAGGTAGGTTGAAAAGGACGAAGGCTAGCACGTCCCGGCCCTTTCCTCCCTCTCACACCGTCCTTTATCACAATCAAGGGCACGGATTCGAGGACGAGAGCAATCTTTCCGCCTCCTCCCTCACCTCCTTGTCCCTCCCTTCGCCCTCCTCCTCCGCGCTGGCTCCCTTCCAAGGCCGGGACTCCTCCCTCCAGGGTGAAAGCGGCCCCGGCCGGGCGCCTCACGAACACCTTTCATCCAACGACGTAAGTGCTACAGCCATGGAGTCTATGCAGACCGAGGCCGTGGGCACCGTGCCGCCAGCAGAGAGCATGGGCGAGGAATACAAGCGGATGGCCGCCCAGAAGGCGCAAAGGGAGAGGCGGTATCAGGCGCTAATCACCTCCAAGGAGCATGCCCGCAGGAATTTTCCCCGCATGCGTCGGATTTACACTGACTATCACTTGAAGGTGATGGTGGCTGGCGAGGCGGGGCATGGGAAGACCACGTGCGTGAGGGAGGAAGGG